GTCTACATATTTTTGACCATACAATTAAACCAATAATGTTATATGGCAGTGAAATATGGGATGTATTTAATCCTCATTCTCCACGATTCAGAAATGGTATCTCAATTGACAATGTATATAATTTTTCAGAAGCTGACAAGCTACACTTGAAGTTTTGTAAATTTATACTGGGTGTTCATAAGAAAAATGCAAATTTGGTAGTAATGTCAGAACTTGGTACATTTTCACATTATATTGATATCATAAAATCAATGTTATTATATTGGCATAGATTGGAAAATTCTGATAACAATTCTCTTCTTGTACAATGCTTTGATCAATTCTGAAACACTTAGTACAAATAGAGACTCCTGGTTCTCTTGTATACAAGTACTTGAATTTTTGAACATAATAAAAATTTTAATAGCTCAGATAGTTCTCAAAAATAATTTTGGATCATTACATGTGAAAATATGAATGTCTTACTTCAACTTGGAAGCTACATCTCTGATCATTTAATATGACAACCACAACAACTTGATTTGTATATATTTTACTTTTACACATTTTTTTTTAAATTTATCTCCTTATTGATAATGTACTGCCTTTGTCTACTAATATGTCTTTCATGCCTCTCTGGGGGCCCTTGACTGGAAATAAATATTGTCTATTGTCTATAGTGTCTAATAAATATGTTTAACTTACAATATGATAATGGTGTAAATAAATGTTTCATGTACCAATATGAATGTGTGGCTAATATTAGATAGTGACCTGAAATGGCGGCGGGAACAATCGAGTACTCACCGATGATCACGTTTTCAACAAAAACATTGTATAAAGTAAAACAAAAATAATGATTACAACAAAAATCAACTTACCTCAGTCTGAAGTAATCTTCTTCTGTGTCTTTGGTGATGAAAGAATGCTTTGATAGATTGCTTGGAAGGCTTTTGCAGAAGCAAATGCAAATCACTGCTATTCGAGTTAGACTCTAATATCAGTGTGACGAATTCTCACTCAGGGTCAGCTCACGTGACCAATGCTGGTCAATAGAGCGCGAAAAACTGTGAAAAGGCGAGAGAGAGAGAGAGAGAGACTAAATTAATTTTTATACAAATTACAAACTTGAAAAAAAGAGCGGGTGCGCATTTACATGTAAATTGTTTGAAATATGATGAGGGAGGAGACATGTGGGAGACAATGACTTAGGGACACACCTTTATTCATGGAGCTCAACATTAAAATAAACTCAAATAATTAAAGACGCTTTTATTATTTGAAGATATCATGAACTCATTATATTATACCTGAAGACTTCAAAAAGAAATTAAAAGGGGGAGAAGAAAAGACTAAGAATTAAAATATACAAAGAGAAAACAAAGGAAAAAGTAAAAGAGACAGAAAAGGGAGGATGTATGCAATTATTTTATAAGTATATTGCATTTATCACAAAATCGATTTCATGGGTCATTTGAAAACACTTTTTAAAAATACATAAGAAGCAAATTGTACAAGTGTAGAGTGTAGGGAGATGGCCGGGGGGGGGGGCTAACTTCGTTAATAAGTATACTAATTTTTCTTTTTGATAGGCTCGTGTACGGAGTTTAAATAGCGTCTATGGTGGCATATTTCTGTCCCCTCTATGCATTTTCCTATAGATTATGTCAATATGCAAGATAATTATGACATGCACCATAAATATGTCAACATGCAATATACCAAACTTGACATGCGAGATGAATGTAATCTAATCAATTCAGAAATTGGGAAATTTGTCCAAAATTATCCAAAATTGCCCACACATGTTTTCCAAAATGCTAACTGCAACATTTATGTTGACATGCAACTTATTTATGTTAACATGCCAGATAAAAATGTTGACACTCAACATATTAATTAATAGCATCAACATGCAACTTGTTGACATACAACTTATAAATTTATGTTGACATGCAAGATAAATATGTTGACATGCAACTTATCTATATCGACATGCAACTTATCTATATCGACATGCAATTATTTGTGTTGACATGCAAGATAATTATGTATATATATAACACAAACTATAGTACATACCAGTACATAAAATGTACCACATGCATATATGCTTGCTAAAGCCGCCTTCGGATACAAGATAATATACGATATACGGATATCGTAAATTTTGTGCCAGAACATCCCTTACAAAAATACTACAGTTTACTATAGTTAACTTAAGTATAATTTTTTTAATACAGTAAATCAATCAAAGTTTTTTTTCTATAGTATCGGGGTAAGTCAAAGTATTTTTACTATGGATTTCAGATTGTTATGTTTTATGTTCTCCAACTTATACATGCAGTTTTTATATTAAATGGAACTATTACTTGTATATTCACATATTATTTACAACTTTTACATCACTGCTATCGAATTTAAACGATTTTTAGCTTTGAAATTTCACAAAAAAGTTCCAGAGTAAAGTTCCATAGTAAATCAAAGTATAACAGTTTTTACTATAGTTAACCATAGTAATTTTTTGTAGGGATCTTACATTTTGTACTTAAAAATCCAATCCTCGAAACTTAGGGGTTTTTTAAATACATTTGTTTATTTTGTTTTTCAGAAGTCAGTAACATTAAAACGTACAACATTCTACACCCTCCGATAAATTAAACAAAAAGGGTTTTGATGTCACCGACAACTGCTTCTTCAATAAAAGAGGCACATGGGCCACATCGCTCACCTGAGTAACTTTGGCCATGCTGTTCTTTACCAGACCACCCCCCCCCCCATGTAATACCTATTGTGGCCCCTCCTTACGCCCGGGGGTATGATTTGAACAATTTAGAATCTACACTTTACCCAAGAATGCTTCCACATAAGTTTCAGCTTTTCTGGCCCAGTGGTTCTTGAGAAGAAGATTTTTAAAGATTTTTCCTATATATTTAAATGTAAAACTTGGATTCCCTATTGTGGCCCCGCCCTACCGCTGGGGGTCCTGATTTGAACAATTTAGAATCTACACTACCCCAGGGTGCTTCCACATAAGTTTCAGCTTTTCTGGCCAAGTGGTTCTTGAGAAGAAGATTTTTTGATGACCCCACCCGATTTTTGACTTTTCTTGATTAGCTCCCCTTGTAAGGGGACTTGGCCCTTTATTTCAATAATTTAATCTCCCCTTCACCCAAGGATTCTTTGTATCAAGTTTGGTTAAAATTGGCCCAGTGGTTCTTGAGAAGAAGTTGGAAATGAGAAAAGTTTACAGATGGACGGACGGACAACGGGTGATCAGAAAAGCTCACTTGAGCTTTCAGCTCAGGTGAGCTAAAAGGGAAGTCGGAAATTTTCATATCTTTTATGTTCTTTCTCACTTCGTTCGTCCGAATATAAATCAATGAGGTGCTAAATGAATAAAACATAACACATATTAAGGAAGCTCTAAACACTGCACACTAAAGAGTTCTACTTATAGGGTAGTTTTATGCAGTTAAAGTGATGTGCCCTTAGAAGTAAGATAGAAAAACGGTTAATTACACAAGTTGTAATAGATCAGAATATTCCTAGCTTCATATTAGACCAAGAATAAGTAATTGACTTCATTTTTTCCATTAATTTTCCCAGTGTAAGTAAACAACAGTGATTTCTGCTCACGAATAGTCCGTTGTCTTTGAGCATTTTTCCTGCAGAAATAAGGCAGGTACCCTATGTTGAACATGAACTAAATAGACTCAATATGCACACCTTTATATGATATATTTTTCTCCAAGTCCAAAAAGAACTTTTTGTTAGTGTTTAGGGCTTCCTTAAGTAGGAACGGTGCTCGCTAGTGCTCTTATTCAATTATATACTGCTAACACATAACCATAACACATTACCAATTCAGATTATACTTGTACACTTAAAGAACTCTTTTTTTTTCTTTTTTTTACCACGATATATATGTAGTAGACCATATGTATATATGTTTTTTTATTTTGGCAATTTTACAAAATGTTGTATTAGGAGAAGACTATCTAAGTTTCTGAACTTGTGTCCGATCCTTTTGACTTTGTCAATAAAATATGTTCAATTCAATTCAATTCAATTCATAACACATTAATTAATACAACTGTAGAGCCCAAATTCATTGCACTCCATTGCATCACTGACAGCCATACTAATCTCTAAATCCTAGCGAGCGAGCTTAGATTGTAGTGCTACCACATTGCCTTACTATTTATACCCTATATAATCACGTGACTTTCAAAGAAACTTTTCGAACACGCTACATAATACCATGTCGCACATAATTTTAAGTAACCAGTTATCAACAAAACAAGGGCACTGTAAAGCAGAGCATCCCCTCGCAAAGAGCATATAAATCAAGGCAGCATTCGACATCGATCCCGATGCAAATTACGTCACTTTCAATTCACACAAGGACAAACTCACACACTGATACCCTTACCCTCACACAGTATTTCCAACTATGCCTCAAGGACCAGAGTGTAAATAATTTTGAATCTGTAGTCAAAAAGAATGTCTTTAGATAAGTTTTGGTCTTTTCTGGCTTGTTCGGTTTCATTCTTAAAAATTATTCCATATTAAATTTTGCCCCCCCCCCTTCCCTGGGAAAAAATGATTTCCGTAGACCCATAGATGTGTTTTTGCATTTAAAATTGTGACCAAAAATCATGAAGAACACCAAGAAATTAAAACGAATTAAGGTATTTATACTACACACGCACATCTTTAATCAGAAAAGCACCATCTTCGATTTTCTTGGTCAGGCGAGCTAAACATGTACACGTCCAAGATACACTTCACCAAGCATGTGTTTTACGCTAGATTTGTGTTGTGTGTTCAGAAATATAATTGCTGTTTCCGTAAAATAGACATATCATCCCTGGTTGGATGTGTTGCCTATGCGATAATCCTCATTTTATGTCCAGCGACAATTTGCAATAAATTTCCAGCAACATGAATATTATAACACTATAGTACGTGTATAGCTCAAAGTTTCACTATGTGTAATTCATAAATTAGACAAAGAAATGGACTGTTATTTTAACTTCCTGTGTATTACATTGTCTCTGAAGTACACGTTTGGTAAGTTAACATTAAAAAAATCTTTATTATATATGTATGAGGAAAACGCTACAGTAGATACCTTCATTTTAGTTAAATCTGTATGTATTTAAATAACATTGCAGTTGTTAGATCAAGATGTTTGGATTTTCCCATTAATTACAACTATTTTTAACATAGAAAAGCGGCACAAGTACACATATAACACAATGGCTTTAATTTTCAATTTCACAGAACCCGTCCGAATGGAGGGGGGGGGGGGGTTAAGGGCGCAGGGATGGTAATTACGTAAATTCTACATATAACTCTATACATGCATACAGAACTGAATGTATTCAATCAGAGAGAGAGTAATTATGACAAATTTTCATCACAGATACTGTTTTAGATTCTCTTTTATACCATCATGACAAGGAGCACATGGTGGGTGTGACCGATCGGCAGGGAATGCTCACTGCTCCATGGCACCTGATCTCACCTCTTATGTTTTAGAGGTCCGTAATTGCTCTGGTCCTGGTATTTGTATTGTTTGAATGGACTTTTGAGATTGAATACTGTTCTTTATCTCCATATTTCATGTAGGTTTGGGGTATACCGTGGGAGGCAATTTATCCGTCTCGGGGTATAATGCCACAGAGGAAACTGAAGGTAAGAAATCCATCACTCCGCGTCAATCATCATTAATTCTTTAAAAAAATATTAATTTTTTTTCACCATTTACACATGGCCGTAGGAACCGGGGGGGGGGGGGGGCACGGGGGGGGTGCGTGCCCCCCCCCCCCCCAATAATTTTGCCGATATATAGTATACTATAGAAAGAATAGCTACTATATGCGCGTGCCCTTTCAATAAAAACATCTGATGACCTTTTTTATTTTTTTTTTTGCTTGTCAAGAAATTTTTGGTAGTTACGAAAGCCTATTAGGATCAAACCACGGTAAAAAAAAAATTTAAAAGGCGTTATAACGCCTTTTCAAAAGGAGTTATAACGCGAAAAAAGGCGTAATAACGCCTTTTGAAAAGGCGTTATAACGCGGAAAAAGGCGTAATAACGCAAATAAAGGCGTAATTACGCCTTTCCAAAAGGCGTTATATAACGCGAAAAAAGGTGTTATTACGCCTTTCCAAAAGGCGTTATTACGCCTTTCCAAAAGGCGTTATTACGCCTTTTCAAAAGCGTTATAACGCCTTTCCAAAAGGCGTTATTACGCTTTTTAAAAGGCGTTATTACGCCTTTTTAAAAGGCATTAATACGCCTTTCAAAAAGGCGTTATTATGCCTTTTGAAGGGCCATTATAATGTCTTTGACAGGCCCGTGCTTTTAAAGTGTGTGTGTGTGTGGGGGGGGGGGGTCCCATAAAATTGACAAGCAAACAAAAAAACAAGACCCCCCCCCCCCCCCGAAAAAAATAAACTGCCTAAACTTGAGGGGAAACTTTTTCTAATTTTTCGGTAAAACTTTTTTTAAATGACTTGCCCGAGTTTAACCATACTGCAACAAAATGTTAAGGGACCAAGCAATCAATTAATGATTTTTTATATTTAAACTATAGCAAGACTATTCTCCCAAAAAGTGGGGTGAGGACCCCCCCCCCCCCCCCCCACTCACATTCGTACTACCGGCCTGTTTGAAAAGGAGTTGTATCCAAAAATGGAAAGGCGTTATTTTAAAATTGTAAATATATGAAAGATTGAACCAAAGCCATCTTTATTTATGCAATATTTAGATTATAGTTTTAATATTATAAATTATTTTAAAAATTATAGTATTATTTTCTATATTCCTGCACATCTCGCAGACAGTTGTTTGCATTTTGCATGCATATTAAGAGAAGTCAACACTCTACTTTTGAAAATCCAGGATATAGGCAGAACCAGCTTTGGGTTTTGCTAGCCACGTATTAAAAATTCATGTCAAATTTGAAATATTTTTCTCTCCTCTTGGTAAAAAACTGGCAAAGTATTTGCATAGATATATAATGAGCAATTAGCCTTCAACAAAATTTCTGAAATCCATACACCTTGGTAGAAGCGTCTGGCACCAGAGAAGGACTAAGTTGGTTTAACACTGAAAATATTTTACACATTTAAAAATCTTTTTTCCTAGAAATCTAATTATAATCAGCCCCAAGGGTGGCTAAGTAAGTCATGTATTGAAAAAAAGCGTAATAACGCCTTTTTAAAAGGCGAAATAACGCCTTTTGGAAAGGCGTAATAAAACCGTTTGGAAAGGCGTAATAATACCTTTTGGAAAGGCGTAATAACGCCTTTTGGAAAGGCGTTATAACGCCTTTTAGAAAGGCGTAATAACACCTTTTGGAAAGGCGTAATAATGCCTTTTAGAAAGGCGTAATAACGCCTTTTAGAAAGGCGTAATAACGCCTTTTTTCGCGTTATAACGCCTTTTGGAAAGGCGTAATAATGCCTTTTAGAAAGGCGTTATAACGCCTTTTGGAAAGGCGTAATAACGCCTTTTAGAAAGGCGTTATAACGTTTTTTGGAAAGGCGTAATAACGCCTTTTAGAAAGGCGTAATAACGCCTTTTGGAAAGGCGTAATAACGCCTTTTGGAAAGGCGTAATAACGCCTTTTAGAAACGCGTAATAACGCCTTTTGGAAAGGCGTAATAACACCTTTTAGAAAGGCGTAATAACGCCTTTTTTCGCGTTATAACGCCTTTTGGTAAGGCGTAATAATGCCTTTTAGAAAGGCGTTATAACGCCTTTTGGAAAGGCGTAATAACGCCTTTTGGAAAGGCGTAATAACGCCTTTGTTCGCGTTATAACGCCTTTTGGAAAGGCGTAATTACGCCTTTATTTGCGTTATTACGCCTTTTTCCGCGTTATAACGCCTTTTCAAAAGGCGTTATTACGCCTTTTTTCGCGTTATAACGCCTTTTGAAAAGGCGTTATAACGCCTTTTAAATTTTTTTTACCGTAGTTTGATCCTAATAGGCTTTCGTAGGTAGTTGATAGTGCCCCAAACTGAAAATATATGACTGTGCCCCCCCTCCCCCCCCGAATGAAAATGCTTCCCACGGGTCTGTTACACGTGTTTATTTTTTAAGTCTCGCATTTTCTTTGCACTTGCACTGGAATCTTACATTATAACTAAGCCATATATGACTGTGCCCCCCCCCCCCCGACTGAAATTGCTTCCTACGGGCCTGTTACACGTGTTTATTTTTTAAGTCTCGCATTTTCTTTGCACTTGCACTGGAATCTTACATTATAACTAAGCCGGAGAACTGCATGTATGGTACCACTGGCACGTCGAATATATGTCATGTGTTTGAGTGGGATATTACCAGTCTTGTAGAATAGAACCCAGGGTTAGAAACTCCTTAAAATTACAACTCGCAAATAATTGCGAGTACCAACAAAGTGAACTCGCAATTTTATAAGACTACTCGCAATTTTCATATAAAGTTAAATTTATATAAATTAAATACATGTAACTTAAGGAAAAAGTAACTACTGTACAATACACAAAATACAACTACAGTGTAACTTTTATTTGAATTACTGATTTAAATCAAAAGTATTGTGTTCTGTCATATTATATAATTTTGCTACAGTTTCAATGCAAAAAAACTCAACTCGCAAGTTTTTGCGAGTTACCTAATTTTTAACTCGCAATTTGGGAATTCTAACTCGCGTTTTGCGAGTTGTATATACATGTAGTGGATTTCGAACCCTGGAACCATTCTCACAGAGTTGTCGTTCCCGCTACGCTCCCACATACACTTTAGGAGCGTAGCGGCAGAAAACTCTGGATAGAGAATGGAATATAATATCCCCTCTAACACCCCCCCTTGGAAAATATAGACTCTAGAGTAGGACCCCCCCCCCCCCCGGAAAATAGGCTCTAAGAGTAAGACTTCCACCACAAAAAATGATTCTAGCGTAGGATTTCCCGTCCGAACGTCTCGTGAACACCAGATTCAATTTTTTTTTTCTCGGAGGAATCGATCATACTACCAGTAAATGTAATAGTTATAGAAAATGATTTCCTCAGGATACAATCCCCCACCAATTAAAACGCCACAGCTGTACTGGGTATGAGGGAGGAGGGGGCGACAGATTGATACAAGAGTCCCTTCTTCGAAATGGGGACCAGTTCCATTGAAACATACGAAGTATGAAAATTTTAAATCTCACTTTTCTTAGTAGTTGTCCAATGAATTCTTTTAAAGCTTTCCTTCGTCTGGTAAAACTGGCTTTTGGAAAAAATAGTACATTGTATTTTAAACTGTATCCATGGAAACAAAGAGGAATTTCTTTTTAAATAGATCTTTTTCTCCAATTGTATTTCAAACTACTTTGTTAGACCATTTTTTTCACACCGAATTGTCTACGGATTTTTTTCCTTTGCTCGATCATGTCAAGGAGCACACAGCGCGTGTGACCAGTCAACAGGGATGCACTACTCCTCCATTGCACCTGATGTTTTTAATGGTCCCTGTTTGCTCTGCTCCCAACTTGTTTTATTTCAATGGACTCTTTAGCTTGACTTCTGTTCGTTATCTTCATATTTCATGTACATAATATCAACATGTTAAGTGTCCCAAGAGTCACATGTTTATACCAGGGGCTCCTCGCGATTAATTTGTCTTCTTTCTATTTGACCACCCCTAAACTTTAAAATACATGTTATGTAAAACACTCAGATTTCCATTAAAAAAAATACACAGCTGATTTTCATATAAACTTTTAGCCAGAATATTCTCGATATACTTTAAGAATTAATTAAGAGAGGAAATCCTGCTCTGAGAAAGAAAGAAAGAAGGGGATTTGGCTTTAGTGTGAGATTTCTATGAGGCGCCGTTTTGGTATTTATTGCCATTTAGTGATATCACCCATTCGAATAGGTGATATGACCTATTCGAATAGGTAATATGACCTATTCGAATAGTTGATATGACCTATTCGAATAAGTGATATCACTCATTCAAATTGAATAGCTGATATCACCTATTTGAATAGGTGATATCACTTTTTGGCAGTAAATACCAAAACAGCGCCTCATAGATTTCCCTCGGTGAGAAATCCTACTTTTGAGTACAGATTCGGGGAGAACTGGCTATTTATGGGAGGAGTCCTCCTCTACAACAGGTCATCATGACGTGATTCTTCTTGCCACCATCCTTTTCTTTTTCAAATAAAGAGAGTAATTTTAATAAATCATTATAAAGCAAAACTGTAAAATCTGCCTCGGAGTGTGATAATAGCAAGTTATGTAAATATAGCTAGTAATGGTTTAGCTATTACATATTAGATTTTTGATTTGGTGACATTAGAGAGATATGGAGATTTTTTTTTTCTAAATAGGAGTCGAATCTCTAACTACATGTAAACTTAAATAGATTTTAAACTATAGACCATTTAATTAATTCACATGCTAAATAATCCATACAGCTATCAAAACTGCAAGCATCCCCCTTCTTCACCTTCAAGATAGTTGAATCCATTTAAGTACTTTTGTAATAGAGATGTGATTTTTTTTTAAATATAAGGATTGAGCTTGTTATCAACTTCCCCGGAATACACGTTTCCTTTTTGTGGAGTTGTAAAACACTGGAAAATCTTATCCATCGATGAAGGGAAATTATGGTTACAAATATGGCGACCCCAAAAGGCTATGTCCTATCGCCTAATTCAAGAAATATCAGTATATACAACTGGAGGTAAGATATAGAACAATTAGTTAATCTTAATTTGAATTCCCTTCAGAGAGAGAGAGAGAGAGAGAGAGAGAGAGAGAGAGAGAGAGTTACACCGTTGTTCCAAAAAATACATGTGTATAATATATATGCGTGTATATATACAATAGAATCTAATTTTTAAATTTTATTGTTTAAAAAAATTCTTTCCAGCATCCACAATTCAACAAATCCCACCAATGAATCCCACCACAAGCCCAGAAATAATTCACTTTAACAAGGGTGATGTCATAGGATGGTAAGAAACTATTTATGGGCAAAAGGAAAGAAGTCATTTGGATTTTTGTTGTTGTTGTTGTTTTTTTTTTTTTGTCATCTATGTTAATAATATTTAAATTTGACTCTCAAGATATTTTTTTTTTTGCTCAGGAAATACAACGGAAAGGAAATTATCCCATTTCGGACCAGTCCGGTGATAGCCCGGGGGCGTGGATTTTGGCGGCGGAGAGCGTCCAACGTCTCTGGTGTTACAGAAAACTGGGGACAGGGGGAATTCCTGTACGCCAGGCAGTATGCTATTTCTGCCAGTGTATCTGAAAGTAAATCTCAGTGAAAAATGAGTATCGTGTACATGATCTGATTATTTTTATCTTAAGCCTCCTATACATGCAAGATAAATTATGTTAACATGCAAGAAAAGTCTGTCAACATGCAAGATAATTATGTCTATTTGCATAATAATTATGTTGACTTGCAAGTTGCCAATCTTTTTATAGAGTTGGGAAACTTACTTACTTACGCCATTATACGACATCATACAAGCAAGATGAAAAGAATTGTGTTAACATGCGACTTATTTATGTTAACATGTGAGTTAATTGTGAGAAATATGTCACTATACTAATCAGTATATTTAGACAAACAGAGAAAAACACACAATGCACAAAATACACAATCCTGATACCGAGCCTTTCTGGCTGTGACAAACGGTGCATACATTTTCCATTATCAAACTGTGTCTTATGCAATCTTGTACATGTTCATAACTTCATAACGTTCATTCATGTTTGCCCCCCCCCACCCCGCTTATGACCAAAATACAAGTCTGCATTTTCTCAAAAAAGTGTGACTTCGCTAAATACTTTAACGAATTAGTATATATACTTTAACAAAGTCCCAAGGAGTTCGATATAACCGAGTTTTACTGTATTACCCAAATTGTTCAGAAAACTGTTACACATTACACAACTGCTATGTCTCAGAATTAATAAATTGAGCAATTTTATGCATATAATTCAGAAATGCTAGATAGAAAACAAGAGGCCCATGGGCCACATCGTTCACCTGAACACATTGGCTAGGAAAAAGCACAAATCAATTCAGTATTGACAAGTTTACGGGGGGGGGGGGGGCTTGAATTTTAAACTACCTGAAATGCTTCCATATCAAGGTAACAAATGGCATTGTTGTTCTTGAGCAAAAATTTTTTAAAGATATCTCCATACATATTTCTTGGTAAAAATTTGATCCCCCATTGTGGCCCCTCCCTCCCTACCCCAATGGTTCATGATTTCAACAAACTTGAATCTACACTACCTGAGGGTGCTTCCTTTTCAAAATGATTAATCATGGCTTTGTTATTCTTGGGAAGAAGAATTTTTAATCTTTTTTTCTATATATCATTATGTAAAACTTTGTTTCCCCATTGTGGCCCCAACCTACCCCCGGGGTCATGATTTCAACAAACTTGAATCTTCACAACCTGAGAATACTTCCATATCAACATGACTAAACAGGGCTCTGCTGTTCTTGAGGAGAAGATTTTTCAAGTTTTTTCCCTATACATATTCTTATGTAAAACTTTGATCCCCCATTGTGACTCCTCCCTACTCCCCGGGGTCATGATTTGAACAAACTAGAATCTACACTACCTGAGAATGCTTTTTTATCAATATGATTAGACATGCCTTTGTTGTTCTTTAGAAGATTTTTAAAGATTTTTTCCCATATATTCCTATGCAAAAATTTGATCCCCCACTGTGGCCCCTTCCTAACCTGGGGGTCATAATTTGAACAAACTTGAATCTACACTATGTAGAGAAGGTTTCCTATAAGTTTTAACTTTTTTGGCCCAGTAAATCTTGAGAAGATTTTTAAAGCATGCCATCAGATTTTCACTGTTTCTTAATTATCTCCCCTTGAATGAGGGTGTGACCCTTCATTTGAACAAACTTGAATCACCTTTACCCAAGGATGCTTGTGGCAAGTTTAGTTGAAATTGGCCCAGTGGTTCTGGAGAAGAAGTCGAAAATGTGAAAAGTTTACAGATGGACGGACAGCTAGACGGACTACAGACAAATTGTGATCAGAAAAGCTCACTTGAGCTTTCAGCTCAGGTGAGTTTAAAAGGAAAGGATAAAATATCTAGGTCAAAGACATTATAATATTCACTATTTTAACACCCTATTAAATATGTGAGGAACTGTGACCTTGCAATAGAATCTGATTGGGAGGGGATGATGTCCTTGTTATATGCAAATGCCTCAGAATTTCTATCAGTAAGCCATCATATGATTGATCAGAGTGATTTATATAAATTATTCCCTCTAGATATAAATACATGAATTTATATGATAAAGGGGGTATATACACCGGTATTACTCTGGATCAATTATATATATAACAACTTATTGATAGAAAGGCCTGTGTTATGTCCTTTTGATTTTTAGATACCCCTCCTTATTTTGAGAAGTATGGTGTGCCAGCTTCCTTCTTCACAGTGACCATTGGTGACACTGCAGACCCATACAGTCAGGTCATGACCTTACCAGTCAAGGACAGGGAGGACGCCTTGACCTTGCAAATATCCATGACAACAGAGTCTATATATTTTTCTTTAAATGAGACATCATGTTAGTCCAAACTATAAGTTCTATCAATTGCATTACCACTGAAAAATTATTTCCTTATAAAACTCCGTAATGTCACTGCATACCTTTTGTATGCTAGATGAAAACTATTGTTTGTACAAATTGTCCCTGCATTTAGAGCTGTCAGTTAAGATTGTTTGGGATACCAGAAAATAAATTCTCCTACATTATACACTCACAATTTTTATTTCTATTGCCAGATAATATTTACACCTTGAAGTGGCTGAAACTTGGACAGTACTCCATAGAAATTCAAGCCACTGACTATTGTGGGAAGTCTGCATCAGCTCAAATCTTCATCTCAGTTGTAAGTATAAGATTGGGGATAAAATAAACTTAGGAAATGTATAAACTTTAACATTATCTTGTTCATTTGGTTTGATTTATGAACAAAAGGCGTATAGGCCTTATTAGATCATCTGACTACCAGACAGCCATTGTTTTCAGAGTATTCCTTACAAATTACATCCTAGGAGGATGTTTGATGATAAGAACATTTCTTTTAATGTAAAGCAGTAAAGGTTATGTTTGGAAAAAAGTGAAGCCCCCCCCCCTTTAATACTTAATTATACATGCCTTTAACACACTTTGAACAAAATTCATTTCAAATGCTCACAGCTAAAATATGAATTTACTTATATAATTAAGAAAAAAATAAACAAAGATATAGCTAAAATATTGAATATACTAAATTAGCTAGATATACAGGATGTTCTGTCTATCATTATTGTATTTTAGGTTGAGAGTAACCCTACAACTACCCAGGAAACATTTCTTGGAAGACCAGGTATTTCCTTATATAAAATCTGTTAAATCCTTTGATACCAACTGTGTATCACTGCTTTTACTGTTTATTTCACCCAGTCACGTGACAGTCAAACCTTCCAGATCACCACACTGCAGTTTTCTGAATCCATATCACTCCTCTCTGAAACTGATGACGTACGTGGTACAAAGCTGTATACATGATGTTTTTTCTTGTGTATCAAAGAGTTCCTTGAAAAAGTCTTCTATTTTAATACATAAAAGTTGTATAATGGATCATAAATGGATATAGTTAATAATAAAGGGGTGTATAGTAAATCTATAACATTAGGTAACTTCATCCAATGACAGGCACAGATCATCAGATCTGCAAACTTGTGTCATGTTTGATCCAATGATCTGTGCCTGTCAACTCAGCATGATATTGGCTCTTCAGATATATACCTTGTATATCTTGGGTTCAAACCCAAAACTGTACACAAGTAGTCCAAGACAAAAGGATGTGTAATATACTGCAAATAAAGAAATGGTCTTCTATTTCTTAATATAAGTGAAAAAGATATATACACATTATTAAATTCCTGTACTAGAAATTAAGAATTTAGCCAATGGCCCACAAATTTCACAAGAAATATGCAAATGAATATGCATATCTTGTAGTACATATTTATCATTGAAAGAGTTGGCAAATTTTCTGGAACTCAAATTTCAGACCTATTTTCTGACTAAAGGTCCAATTCCACATGTGGCATTTATATTTTTTTTCAATATCATAGATAAACGCCCTGCAGGGTCCTTTTTCTTTCTCGTATCAAAAAACATTACCCTGTTTTACTTCTGTGTAATGTTAATTGTGAGGTGCTTGTCATGATTACAGTAGAATACATGTAGGGCATCCTAAACTTAAATACATATTTAATCATTTACTCATGTCATCCTCAAAGATCAAGGACAATTCATTAGGTCAACATCAACTGTGGACCTCCTGATTTACCTCATCATTGCAAACCAAGGCCAAAATGTATGATCCTCTCCCATTCTGGAGAAAGCTATGAGCGGACTCCAGACCGTGGCTTGAGATGATGGATTTACCTATGTGTAGAATTTGAAGAGTGTGCTCTATATAGATCCCAACAAAAGAGAGAGAGAACATCAGTTACACAAAACTGTTAAAGCAGCTAAATTGATGTAAAAACATTCTCAATCCAAGTCGAACACAAAAAATTTACTGAGATAAATGTAAACAAGTACCATTATCAGTATCAGACCTGCTAATCCTACATATTTTCTTACATTTCAGCAATAGTATGGACGGTGGGCTTGCCGATGTCTCTTGGTTTATCTGTGTTGTGCCTTGGAAGCTTGTTTGTGTATTCCTGCATTCAGTGGAAAAAAGGGTCAACTTTCTCAGTCACTGAACTAAAGTGACCTTCAATGCACGGCACACCATCAATTCTACATTCATACTATTTGAATCCTGAACATCCACCCCAAAAAATGGAGCATGTATTCTTTAAAACTACTGTCAAATTTTGGTATCTCATACATCAATATCTTGAATGCAATGGATATGTTGAAGTCATTTGGAAGTTCTCACCACTTCTCTCTATGTATTAAACTCTCAATATCTAGAACCCTTGGATATCTTGAAGTTTTTCCCTTCATTCAAGATAATGAGGTTCGACTATACTGTAAATAACTTTTTATTTGCGAGAACTTTATTTTCGCATAATTATGCAAGTCTTTCTACTTGCAAAAATTTCTTCTTGTGTATTTTTGAATTAAGGATTTTAACAAAAGAAATCACAGCTCGCGAAATTTTTGTCTCGCTTATAAATTTAATTACCAAACAGCTATCTTGCGAAAATAAGGTGCCGCGAAAATATAGTGATCTACAGTATGTATACATCATTTTCTTTTGAAAAGTTGATATTTTGAAGAAATGTACATTATTTGATTTTCTACTTCTTGTTCAGAAAAAATGATCTAAAAATTGTTTGTTTTACAAATCATTGTTTATTCAACTCAAACGTTGGTATAAAAAATCACAAAAATAGTCTCTAGTATAAATCAGATCACAGTTAAAACACTAGATTGTTCCAAGGAACACATAAAGTGCCCCGTCACAGCAATATTGTTTAATTTTCATAAACAGTTTAAAGTGCAAGAAAATCATGTCAACCTTGATCATTCAAAGATTTCCATGATTTTTCCATTCCTGATAATATCTGATGTTTATACATCTCCTGTAGTGTAGGCATTTATTATAACAAATATTACATTTGTTTGATATTTTCAAAAAAGTAAATAAAAATATCATATTAAACAATATCAAATTAGTCTTAACAATTTAATCTATATCAAATTAATTTTGAAAATAAAAGGCTGGCCAACAAATGACATACATGTATGCTATAAACTGACAAGCAGTTCTTCTGTCTCATTCCCAAAGGATACAGATAAGAGCTGCTTGATCAGAGATGCTCTAACAAAAATGATTGAGACAGCTAACGTTCCTACATTGAACTCATTAATTAAATCTTTAACTGGAAGCATGTCCACTCATTACTCCCAAGGGATGAAAGGATATGCACTAACTGCTTTGTAGTCTGTGTTGCAATAAAAATGCATATTTATGTCAATCTGTTGAAAACAGAGATTTTTAAAATCTTGAAATAGGTTGTGACACACCTTCTACCTAAGATGCATAAATTGGCCAAGTTTGATGATTTCAAGCCTAATAGTTTTCTAGTTATGAGCCAGACAGGATTTTTCTATATTTGGCCATAGCATCTTCTTAATTAAAGGTCAGAGCGACCTACTTTTAATGCATGACACACCTTCTACCCAAGATGTATCAGCTGACAATAGTATTAAAGTTATGAGCAGGACACAAAAAAGCTAACAGACAGATGGATGGACATGAATGCTATAACATAATATGTCCCGTCTTAAGATGGACATACAACAAGTCACCTGTGATAGCATCATTTATGACATGAATGTTTCTATATAACTTCATCTGTCAAATAGAATTGAAAAGGTCAAAGTTCACATGAAACTTGGTTTCACCCTAGCATTGAACAGAAGCTCAAAGATCAAAGAGTAAACACCAATACATGTATCAGTGTTCTTGTCACAACTTATTTATCATGCTATACTTGACTTCCTATCTTCTGCTGAATGCCCCCCCCCCCTCCCTCCCCCCTCAATGTCCATAAGGTCAATTTAACGTAGATAGAAACGTTCTATCGTTAAAATGAAATTGTCCTACGGATCCAGTTTAACGATAGATGTGGTGAGGGCTTGTCCCGAGACACAGTTAGATCATTCTAACTAAATTAACATGAGAAGATCAGGAAGACTATTCTATATGAGAAGATTCAATATAAGTGAAATATCAGACTCTAGAATGTGACTAATGCCAGGCAAAATGATCCCTAAGTGTCACTCTCTGCTATGCAGGGGACAAAGAAATACATGAACATTGTTCTTTATTTTGCAATGACAACCTTGAATACTGCTGGATAATGAATTTGGCACACTATTAAAGTATCAACGTATACTTTGAGAAGTTCTGTGCTTTTCCAAACACTCAACAATGGCTTGTCTACAAACAATAGAAGTTTCTTTTTATCACTATAAATATTACAAACAATTACACAAATATATCATTTCATGTATACAAAATTACTTGAAATAATTTGTGAAATATCTTTTAGACCACTTGTACATAGCTTATGTAATATTTTAAATTGTATCAAACAATTATTCAATGATCTTAAACTATATTCCAGAAAATTAACACATGTGAAGGAATTTTAAATTGCTGCCTTTAAAATCAGGAAATCTTTATAAAATCCAATCAATTACATGAACTGTAGTACATTACATATTTTGCTTTTTCTTCAAACACAGTACTAAATCAGTTGTCTATTTTTTTTTATTGTATCAAACTCTATCTAAGGAATTTTCAAATAAAACAACTGACCTGAATAAATGCCTACTGCTGACTACTGATGACACATGACCTCCAGGAATGACCTTCACCTTTGAACCTGGCCACAAGTCCTGGTGGGTCATCACATTATCACGAGGTATATAAGCATCTGATTCAGCCACAAGTGATAAAATAATAGACGTGTCCACTGGAGAGGAATAATTTCCCAGGTGTGTAAACTCCTCCATCACTTCCCACATAAAGTCCAGTATTTCTGCATCAAAGGACTTCAACTGTTTTCTATTGATTACATTGGACTGAGATATATTATGAGAAATGGATGAAAATGATTTAGCTTTCCAGTCGTCCACAGTTCTTAACTGTCGTATAGCAGTCCCTATACTGTCCACCTGTGATCCCGCCTCCTTGATGCGCAGTAGAGCTTTCTCTACATCCTTATGGTAATCTTGTACAGTGTAGTCTTTAGATGAAAATCTGCTAATTCCTCTCTACAGCAAGAAATAAAGAAGCTTAAGCAGTACTTCACACAGAAAACAATTATTTAACTTCTTCTTAGTGGTTTGTCTACAGAATCAATGTTTCTAATTTTAAGAATCAAATTCAATTTAATTGCAATCGCTTTGAAAAATTGAAGCAGTAACAATAGCAAACCTCTGGAGAGACTAGCATCTTTCTGATTTCATGTTCATATTCTTTGTCCTCATAATAGCTATTTTTCAAAACATCCCATCTTACAGCTTTTGAGAGAATGCCCTGAAAGGAACATAAATGTATGAAAATAACAAAAAACAAAAAAACAAACAAACAAAAATACAGAGTTTTTTTTAAAAAAAATCTTCTTTGATGTAAATATAACAGTCAAAATGTGTAACTTCTGTTCTTAACTTATAAAAAAAATTTTAAATCAAAACATATCAAATATTTAACTTTATATGTACTCAATCTAATCCTAAGACCACAAACACAACAAGAAAACCAAACCATCATTTATTCAACCTTTTCAATAAGTTGAGTGCATTTGTACTTTCATTCAAAACAGAATCGGAGTTCATTTTTCCACCTATGATGTTTGATTAATCTAGATCATTATAGAGTGCTCGGTTTACACAATGAATCCTTTTACATGAATGACTCGGTGCTCACCCTAGTATACACTGGAGAGGCAGTTACTCCTGCTAAACATGGTACCAGTGCAATGGGTTTTGGCCAAATTGTTGCAGCTAATGAAGACATCTGTAAATATACATTAAAATTTATTAATATTATATATAGATAATAAATAAATATTATACATGTATATATTAAAATTCAATAAATCATTTTTTAATGATTGAAATAAATCATTAAACTTCCTGTATACATAACTAGATTTAGAATATTTGTAACTATCTATTAAAAAAAGTTGACGCTCTTTGAATTAGTTATTCATTTTAACTTATGTGGTGATAAACTATACTAAATAATAATAAATATGTAATACATGTATTCTTAATCTTCCCTTTATCAATATTGTGTAATCAAATGCATGATTCACCTCAAACCAAACCAGACTTAATTCTACTTACGAATCCTCCCATAGAAATGCCAGTCAAACAGAATGGTCCCCATCCTTGTTCCTCGCACCAGTGAAGGAGAACAACCGTCTCAAACATCAGAGCACCCCCCATAACAATCAAATCGCTCACATTCTGTAGGCTGGAGCGGCTGTCAAAATCAAGTGTCAGGCATTTCACAACTGTAAAATTATTCAGACTAAAATTTGACGAAATGTTAACACGTGGTTATATTACCCAGAAATCAGATTACATTGTACATGTGCTGTGTTTCAAGGCAAATTTATCTTCTCATAAAGTCAAATTTAATTTGGTGTCATTTAACTTTGTTCTTCAATAAGCCAACAGTCATTAAAGTACAAATAAAATCTAGATATATTTTTGCATTCATTTGAACATGCAAAACACAATTGGTGATGAGAGAAAAAAAATTGCTATTTAATAAAGTCAAATATATACATTTGATTCTGCAATTGTTTTCCTTTATATAACACTATTTGAGCAATCCATATTTAAACCTACATGTATATAAAAACAGGTTCATCACATGATTAGAAATTCCCTGTTAAGTCATAAATGATCATCATAAATTTAAAATGACATCATAAGTGGTCAACATGTTTAAAAGAACTAATTCATATTTTAGAAATTTGAAGAAAAAAAAAATAATTTCCTAAGTTTAAATTTAATATATGTAGTATATTATTGTTATAATTCAGTCACAATGCATATAAAAATAATGTGTCATTTTTAAAAGTTTATCAGGATATGCATACGAGTTGCTCACACGATCAAATCTCATAAAGCTCAATTTAATCCTTTAAAATTTTTTAAAATTATACTTGTGAAAATTATATGTTAGTATAATATTTTTAATTTTGGGATTAAAAAAAATTGCTGTAAAAAATCTAAATTTTCTTTTTATTCACACAAAATCAACACACGATATCAGAAAATTAGTACCGTACATACTCGCCTATAAGTCGATCCTCCTATAAGTCGATTGTATTTTTTAAGCTTAAATTAGAGGGGCTGAACTGCTAAAATACCAGTCTTTTTAGAACTCGCGCATAAGTCAGATTATAAAGAGTTTTGGACCAAAGTTTAACTCTCAAAAAACCGACTTATAGGCGAGTATATACGGTGTATATTGGAGTTCGTTATAACCGTAAAATTTTTACATGGAATTGTTTGGAATGTTGCAGGAATAAAAAAAGTATTTATCCTTTTATTTGCTACATCTGTGTTTGTAAAGTCAAGTTTTACTTTATAATATGATGCAATTATCAACATTGTGAAAGGACAAGGTATGATAACGACCGAATTTGGCCCCTTATTTGATGTAAAAATCAAAACACAGTTAAAATTGTGATAGTTTTTAGTTAAGAACTTACAATGATGCTCATTTTAAAACCAGCACTAATTTTGATTCAAAGCTTACATGGAGGCCACATGAGGGTGCAGAAATAGGACATTTTCCCGAATTTCCTCAATTCTGGTGAAATTTTGTCAAATTCTAGATACTTTTCTCTTCAAGAAACATAGAGCACAAGCTTGCCTATCCGAGATTTTTATACACAAGATGCATCTGAGTGTATGAAATATATAAATTTGGTAGATAGGCAAGCTTGTGCTCTATGTTTATTGATAAACTGTTGCATCATTCTAAAAGACATCCCAAACCAGGGGCCAAAAAGAGGTCTTAGCTTATCTTGTCCTTTCTCTTATATCTGGAACTTACAATTGGTCCTTTGGTTTTCTGGTCCCATCTAATGTTTTGTTAAAGAAAAATCATCCAAACTACAGAAAAAAACTGGGATACAAACAAACTCCAGCAACAGTGATCCAGAGGTACCATGGACATAAATATAATTTTTTGAACCAGACTCTTCACTTTGCCGTATCCATTTGATCTTAGGTCAGTTTTTCACAGCATATCAGCCATTTTTTGGAAAAGTATGAGATTTAATATATCTCCATTACAAAATTAAAGGCTAGACAAAATAGCATATAAACAAGATTATCACATACTTTCTTTTGATATGCAAGTTTTGCTCAAATGATTAACTATTATTGTTTTACCATTACAAGGATATAGAAAAGACAACAATATCTGACTTTGATCAAACGACCTTCTTTCAAGATCAATAATACTTCTAATCACAAGTTATTAGTTAATGTAGTTTCCAACCTTTTTACTTCAAAAATTTATAAACATGCACATGCAGTATTAAACTTGCAAACAAAGAGACTGACTCCAATACATTGGCACCCTGTGTGTAAAACGCATTGGTATAAGGTTTTAACACTGAGACTCAAACTTATGATATAACTGGGATACCAGTACCAGTGGCGGATTTAAGGAGGGGGGCACACCCAGTGCATCCCTCTATAATTGTCAAAGTTAGCGTAAATTATGGTTTCGTTGAGAAAATATAAAAGTCTACTCGGTAGATCTCATTTTTACTCTACAAAATCTTTAGAATCCAGAAGCCCCCAGCCTATACTTTTTGCACCCCCCCCCCAACTTCAATTCCTGGATCCGCTCCTGAGTACATGTACTAGCATGCCTTGTAGTCAAAATAAGGGTGTTCCACTGGAGAGGGTGAACAATAAAACATGCAAAGATTTTCACAGTTAACACAGAACTTGGATCTTTAATTTTGAAAAGGATACAGAATGGACTCTCAATTATGATTGAGCCGATTCCATGTTCACTCAATAATGGTTCAGCCATTAATCTTCTTCTCAATAGGTAACCCTGCATCAGAAAATCATTGTTTGCATTTGTAAGGGAAGTTCATGCAAATAAAATGTAATTTACAAAATACAATTCAGGTACCTTTTACTGACTAGTATTTAAACAATATTCCAATATTATTAATGAATTTAAAAGAAATAAATCAAAATACTTGTATTTTGAATGAGCAGCAAACTGTTTCTTTAATTGCTCTGCATTTATATTCTCTACTTTACTTTTTCTATTAACAAATTAAAGACTTTAAGAAAACAAGTTTAAAATTAAGCAAAGTAAGGACATACATGATCCCCTGTGCCTCCATGATGAATACAAATAGGGTGAGCTGGGCCTTGCCACCTGTGTGGGAGTATCATCTGAAACCTGAAACAGTGGGTTAGAACAATCTTAAACACTGGGTCAGATTTATATGTTTAAATCCTGTCAATAGTAGGTAAAAAAAATCTGTTAACCGTGGGTCAGAGTTATATAACATCTGTCAACAGTGGGTCTGAGATATATAAAATTTGTCAACAGTGGGTCAGAACAACCTCAAACACTGGGCCAGATTTATGTGTTATAAACCTGTCAATACTGTGCCAAAAAATATGTTAACTGTGGGTCAGAGTTACATAACATCTGTCAATTGTAGGTCAGAGTTCAATAAAAGCTGTATACAGTGGGTTACAGTTATATTAAATCTGACAACAGTGGACCAGATTTATATGTAGTCTTTTAACTGTGGGTCACAGTTGCACAAAACCTGTCAAATGTGGGTCACAACAACACAAAATCTGTCAGCAGTTCATCAAAGTATTAATCCTGTCAACAGTGGGTCCAAGTTAAACTTGTTAACAGTGAGTCTGACTTTAAGCTTAAACATGTATAGTCAATGACTTTACTTTGTAAAGCTAGATGTCAGGTCTGTGTTGTATATATTGTAAAGGTGAGGAAGAGTCTGTGTACAGTAATCAGGGTTCGACACTAACGTTAGTCCGTTAGTCTCAGACTAATACATTTTCATTCGGACTAATAAAATCTGTGGCTAATTAGTCCGAACGGACCAATAAAAATTTCTGGAAAACAAATTGAATAAATTAACGATGTTCGATTCTACTTTTACTGGAAAACCCCGCATGTATTTTTAGCTTTCTACCTTCTTGGCGGGTAGTTAAGTAAATCCGAGCCAACTTGGCGCTTTCTTTTAGGACTGATTGATATGAAACTAAATATTTTAGCGATCATGATTTAGTATAACACATAAAGATGTTTTGGATGATGTGTAACGTTAAAGAAAACAGAACGAGATCGGGAATACGATCGCACTTCCTGATCGCGAGATTTTAACAAATGCTTTGTTTATTTAAAAAAAAAAAAAATACATTGTTATGGGTATTTTAAAGGAGATGGGCGAACTTAGCGTGCAGAAAGCCTATAGCTTCAGATATATAAAAATCATGTTCGGTTTGTGAATTTAGTATTTAGAGTAATGTTCTCATTATTGAAATTTATGAAATTATGATAAACAAAACTTTTCTGAGGAAAATTTTCTCGGCAAAATTTATTCTTTTATTAAAAAAAATTATTGTGGTATTCGTGTGGTTCGAACCCTAGCAATAAAAATCCTGAGTATCATTTTCTTTCGAGACTAGCACACTAACCACTAGACTACACAAGTCCTGATGAAGTGTGGCATTTAAATCATGTTTGTGATATCACCCTTGACTTAATGGACTTCAAGTATTTCTCGAAAAGCTGCGAATGTTATGTCATGAAAGTATATTTTTAATGTATAGTGGGTCATTGCTCCATATTTTTGGTAACCAAAAAATGTATATTTTTATGCAAACTTTGAGGATTAACTTTCAAAAAGGTGGAGCGAAGACCCACTCATATCGAAAAGTAGTATTATAGTATGAGAAAATGAATCTTTTAGCCCGTTTTTGTGTGTGTCAAATATTTCACAGGCAAATAATTTCAATCTTTGCGGGATTTTTGCAAACTGTAGAGATTTTACGTAAAGTATATTTTTATGTTAGACGAAATAACAAGGAAAATTTTTGATATAATTGAAATTTAATTTTTCATCTTCATGTTTGTCACACTATAGGCTTATCGCTCGTCATGTTCACCCATCTCCTTAATCGTTATTAAACATTGACGTTTCTTTTTTTTTTTTGACGGACTCGTAAAATCGCGTGCGGACTAGTAAAAGTATTGAGGCACTAGTCCGGCCGGACTAATGCCTAAAAATGTAAGTGTCGAACCCTGCAGTAATCATGCTTATACTGAAGTGCCAGGAATGAACAATACAATTTTTTTTACAGATTTAATTTGTAATATATTCTAAGTCTGTAATATATTTTAAAACCATAGATAATGAAATCATTGTGTGAATTCATTATATTAAGCATATTTATTATAATCACGATTAACTGTGATTGCTTTTACCTGGCATTTTTGACTACATTTGGCATGACCCCTGGGATAATACTATCCCATGGTGAGTGAAATTCACCCTCCAATACTTTAATGTTTCCCTCTTCTTTCTCCTGTAGGAAAATGTTCAGTAACATAAACAAACATCTCCTGTAGCAAAATGTTCAATTACATAAACAAACATGTCAGTAAGTTTATATATCAATTCCAATTCAACTCAGAATATTTTATAGGTGTTAACAGTATTTTATTTGTCTTAAAAGAAAATATAAATTTTGACAGAAGAAATGCAAAAAACAAAAAACAAAAAAAAAACAAACAAAAAAAAAAAAAAAAAAAAATCAAATTCCCATGATGGCAAATCTTTTATTAACCTTTGAATATAACCTTTACACCATCTGAAGTTATTTAATCATTTATTGCTAGAACAGGTATACCACAAATGAAGACATTACCATGCATAATTTAAAAGTTATGGTCAATGTTAAAGTTATTTTAATATGCCCATACCTCTCCAAATATGCAACATTTAAAGTAATATAAATCTTCAACAACTTTTCTTTCCATCCATATGATGTAACATTTCATGTCAAATGCATATACAGTTGAACTTCGGTATCTCGAACACTGATACTGTATCTCGAATACCATGAATATGTCAAAGTGATTTGAAAGTCCCAAATGCTTATTCCTTAAGTATTTTACCCTGGATATCTCGAATCCTCAGATATCTTGGAAGTATTTTCTAAGTTCCATTGAGTTCGAGATAACAAGGTTTGATTGTACATATATTGTTTAGAGAAACTACAAGAAACAAGAGATATGCTGTTTTATACAAGTAACTTACATAAAATATGTTTACTTTATGGTTTTTGTCTACCAAACTGTATGCTGCATCCCGAACTGATAAAACTTTCCTAAGATCCAGTAACCTAGTCAAATATTATATATAAAACAACATCACTTTTATTTACATATGCTAACATAAGTCATGCTCTCTGATGAATAAAATAATAATTATAATATACTCAGTTTATATGGCAAGATATTTTCTCATGAGAAGCAATGTATGTACTAATGACCTAGGTTGCTTCTATGAGCAAAAGTATATTTTACATCTATGTGTTTGCTTATGATTTTATGCACTGTGAGTAAATCTGAATGAAATCTATAAATCTTGTAATTTTTTAGACAACTAAAAGGTTTAGTGAAAAGCTATTATCAATCAAGAAACACAATATTTGCTTTTGGATATGGGTAAACATATTTGTACCTGCCCCTGAGAAGGTGTAATTTTCACTTGAGAATTTTTTGCATGTACTTGTATTTGTTTATACAGTGAGATGTCTTACAGGAATATATTTACACATGCAAACTACTTGCATATGAGTAGAGCTCACCACATAAACAGAGTATTAATCCAATTTCTTTTTTCCAAAAGTTTTGACCCATTCCACATTTTTTTTCACTCTTTTAAATTGACACGTTAAACACAATTTGAAAATGAAATCACATGAATAAATCAAGACATTTTAAATCATAAATCATAAACCTTTTAAGATGTTTTGGTTGCCCCCATCCTTTCACAAATTGACTTGTAAGGATTAAATTTCGAAAAAGGCTGTCAAACGCACTCATCCCTCTATTGTTACACCTTTCTGAGGCATCAGAGAAGTGTATGTGCTAAAATGCAAATTTATTTGGTCAGATGGTACCAATGCAATGAAAACTGATAATGACATATAAATCTGCCCTTGTACTTTAGAAATCCAAGATAGTTATGTCACATAATTTATGTAACATAATTTCAGTCATAAATAAGTCTTAAATTATAAAACATGGTATTTATATTTTGCGTTTAAAACATGTATCCTTTTTACTCAACGGCAACGTGTTGACTCAGGATCCCTGACGTTGTGGGGATGAGCGAAGTGTTCGCTATAGCTCATGGCTTGTCATCCGCATGATTTTTTTTTACTTCATTGATAAAATTGCAAACTCCTGTGAACACATATACACTGTAATATCAACTAAATAGAGAACATTTGAAAAGAATAAAAAGTTTCAATTCCAAAGTTACTGAACTAACTGAAATGTGGTGGTAGAACTATGCCATCATAAAAAGCATAAACAATTGCATTTTCAGTTACCACAAACTATAAAAAGATCCAGAAATAGTTGTCAACTGCTAAACAACGGCATGACCCTTTTGACTGGAATTTCCTCTGTTATACTCCTTCATGGGCTTGTTGTTAACTCGCTCATAGAATTATTCGTAAATTTTATACGATATGATTTCTATTATTTATTCTGCCATTTACGGTATTAATCAGGTATTTCTCCTTTATATTTAAAAAAAATGTATATGGATACCACATTTGTAAAAACATATCAATATTTCTTGTTAGTTGTTATTTTTCTTTAAATCAAACATAGGGTTATCTTTTCTTGTTGTGCAATCTCTGCAAGACTCTAGACAGCATGCTACAGCCAATTTTACATCAGCTGAATTCTAAGAAAATAATTTTAGCCAGCAGTTCTCCCAGGAGAAAACAAATCTTAGGAAACATTGTAAGTCAATTTATCAGTTCAGTGTTTTCAGGAAATATGTCAAAGATCTGATCAGCTGGATATCTGCATTGAGTGATATATATATATATATATATATATATGACAATGATCAAATAGTGAAATATTGTTTGGTTTTGCATACCGTACACCAAAAACCCCTAAACATGCTAAAACACCTCTAATTTTTATAAATAAGTGACATTAAATATATCTATGCATCATTTAAAAATTTATGTCTTTCTTAATTTTATTGATTATTTTGGTCCATTATGAAAATGTGGAGAGAATCGAATTTAGATGTGTCTCTTTGGTTACATCATCTGATTTTAATGAATACAGAATCCCTCACTGTCCCTGGTACTTGTAGTTGTCACATATAGATGTATTTCACTGAAAGTCTTGTGTTTATACATATTTTTTAAATTTCTTCGAAAACAGCGTTCACTTGGGTAATTAATATATATACCGTATTTACTCGCCTACAAGTCGGTTGTATTTTTTTAAGCTTTTATTAGAGGGATTGACTCTCTAAAATACCAGTCTTTTTTTAAAATAACTTGCCTATAAGTCGGACAAAGAGTTTTGGTCCAAAATACAACTCCCAAAAAACCAACTTATAGGCGAGTATATACAGTATTTCTCTATACAACCTGTATTTGATTTTTGACATGGTTTCCTTTAATTGTAACCTTTGTTCTATTTTGGACAAACTAATGGAAAATATGATGTTCACATCTTCAACCTCCTGCATATCACACTGAGAGCATATTCTTAATGCGAGAGAAGTGGGTCCTACATGTAAATCTCCCTTTTCAAAATTTAATTGATGTGCATAAATACTTTTAACAGGACTGGCTAGGGTTCAGTTCCCGTATAATATCCAATCATCAAGAAGGATGAGAGATTTCCAGTGTTTTCAATAATTGTATTTTAGTAAAAAGCTTAAATAGTACAAATAATTTGACAAAAAAATTTATAGAAAATGATTCAAGGAGAGTGTGATTTTTAGTAATTACCATTAATTTAGCCCCTGCCCCTAAAATACATCTGGAAACAAACTTTATCTAGCCTGAACTGTATAGAAGGCTACCTGACGACACTATTTGTCAACAGTGAAATCTGGACAGGTCCGAAGCCCAGCTGGGTTCTGCGCAAAGGGTGATTACTCTAAATACTAACAATACATATAATAAAGGGAAAATACCTAATATATAGTTAAAAATAGACAAAATACAAAAACCATCACACCACTATTTGTAGATCCTTTTACAGATATGAAAAAATTTTGAGGCTAATAAATCCAAAGCAAGCCTTTTATTTTGGTTTATGCTGAATTTTTTACACTTCATGGAATTATTAAGTAAGATATGAATATTTTTCAATTTGTTTAGAATTTGAAGTTTGATACAGCCAAATCAAACTTTGAAGAAAATTTGGACAAAGGATCCTTTTCAAGTCCTTTAGAGTATGTCAGAGAAACTGCCAAACAGAAGACTTTAGAAGTGGTGGAAAGGTTATTTTCATGCGGGGTATGTAGGTTTAGTGTATAATTTCTTTATAGAGGGCATGCTTTAGTATGGAATCCAGATAGAGCTGTGTAGTTTACTATTGCACCATTGAGCATTGACTAAATGGTTGATGGTGTGATATTTGTGATGGCATGATAACAATGAAGTGAGGGCAAAATGAAATTGATGTGACAATGTGATAGCATGATGATGCACGACAATGCAGTGACAGATGACAATAGTGTGATAGCACAAAGAAGCAATATTGAACATCACTTCATCATTATCATACCATTGCACCATCATGTCATCGCTATCGCACATTGTGGCATTGTGCTATTGATTCCTGTGATGGCATCATCATCATTTTTTCACACCATCGCTCCATTGCTTCATCATCATTGCACTATCAACCCAAACCTGGATATCAAAATATTTACGTTCCTTAGTTGAATATTCGATTACATTATTCAAACGTTAGTCTATTATTTGGAACATTTCCTGAAAACAAAATCTTATTTTAAACTTCATTGGTACATAGCAAATTTATAACGGTAACTCAAAATAACTTTCACATAAATTCATATAAAAAGTACCATCAAATGCCTGTATAACACACAGATGTTCACAGGCACTTACTGTAAGGATAAGATGTTTAAATGAAACAGATTTACACTGGTAATTCTTCAAAATGTATGATTTCCCATAAATCACGTCATTCATAAATTTGTCTGTAAAATCAGTCAACAGTTTTTGTTGTGGAAAATTATCAGCTGCAACTGTTTTTGAGCTCCAGTAAGTCTATGGTTTGAGGAAGGACACTTTTTCAATTTTGAGATGAGAATTCCTTTTCTTTATCACCCTTTTCTTGCATTTATTTAATATTTGAATGTTGTTTCATTATTCGATCATCAGTCCATTCGACTGATAGTCGAATAGTCGACTATTTGGTGACATCCCTAATAAATATACACTTTTCAATGCTCCTGTAAAGGTCCTGGATGCTATGACAAAATTACACATCAGAATTTCTTTGTCTTGCATCATAACATTACAAACACTATCTTCACTATTTACCCTTGATATCAAAGCCTGCTCTGCTAACATTTGTCCTAATATTTCCTCATGTCTGTATTCTTTCTGTTAAACTATCAAATTCTCAGTTTTCTGTTGTGGATGTCTGGAAGGTTCTATTATCTGTATAAGTCACATCATAAGTTTGGAGGACACCTGACCAGGGTTCAAATCCTCATCTGATCCATAGCATTTTCTCCCTAACTGCTGAATTTGATGTTCCCTGCTAGCTGATTTGACAGGTTGAAGACCAGTCCGCAATTGTTCTGAGTTGTATGTTGGAGGGCATGCATTCTTTTAAATAAAGAGGTGGGGTTAGGGGTTGTCAGACAGATTCATTCATCAGTGTCAGACAGCACTGTGGGTAGATTTTATAACCTGTCCAGAGTTCAGGGGGACCCAGATTTAGATTAGATCTTGGTATGATTCTGATTGATCCAAAACATTTTTTCTTCGTTGCACCATCATTCCTATTTTTTGAAAGAGTATTGTTATCTTTAGTTTCATAATTAGAAATAAGAAAGAAAGCAGAGTTTAATAAATGGAAAATAAGATGATGAAATAGAATATGAGAGTTAAGGAAAGTTAAGGGAGCAAGTGCCCCTATCAGTACATCATACACCCAGGGGTATTTATTTAATTTTTATTTCCCTTGTTTTACTCATTAAGCCCTCTGATACATGTTATATTTCATAAGAAGTAGGCTTGAAATTTAAATTTCATAAATATTTTACTCTGTTTAAATGAATTGATAATTTAACTCTAATCAGTATTTAAAAATCTACTTGTAGCCCTCACCAGACCTACTCATAGGAGCTGACACAATAGTCACCAATGGAAATAACATCTTTGAGAAACCAAGCAGCAAAGACCATGCTATTGAAATGATCACTAGGTATTTAGAAGAAAAGAAACAACACTATTTTGCCAAAAGATTGCCTGTTATTGCTAAGAAGCATAACCATGGCTTAGGTTAACGAAGAAGGCGATAGAAAAAGGAATCACAGTGTAATTATGTTTGTGATAGTCATGGCTTTTGGTATAACACAGCTTGATGTAATTATGCTTACCAGTAGTTGTTTTGTGGAAGTCTTAGGACAATTCAGCTGAAATGGGGCCATACTGCATAATTTAAACATGACACATCTTCTCCAGAAAGACTGCACCTGAAGTCAATATATGGTTTACTATGATTTTAATTCTAAGGTGCTAAAGTTTTGTGGTTTCTTACAAAAAAGAATTTCTGGTTTTCAGCCATACAGATCTCCTTGTTTGTTTCCAGGGTATAGTAAATTGACCTCCTTGTTGTGATTCAGTATGTAGTATATAGGACTTCTTGTTACGGTTCATTATGTATTATATATATAGGCCTTGTTTCTATTAAGGATGTATTTTAAAAGCCTTCTTGTGGTTCATTTCTTCATTAGGTACTATAAAAGCCTTCTTGTGGTTCATTTCTTCATTAGGTACTATAAAAGCCTTCTTGTGGTTCATTTCTTCATTAGGTACTATAAAAGCCTTCTTGTGGTTCATTTCTTCATTAGGTACTATAAAAGCCTTCTTGTGGTTCATTTCTTCATTAGGTACTATAAAAGCCTTATTGTTGTGATTCAGTATGTAGTATATAGGCCTTCTTGTTGTGATTCAAATGTAATACATAGATTAATTTTCTTGTTGTGATTCAAATGTAATACATAGATTAATTTTCTTGTTGTGATTCAAGATGTAGTATATATAGGCCTTCTTTTTAATTCGGTATGTAGTATAAAGGGCTTCTTGTTGTGATTCAGGATGTAGTATAAAGGCCTTGTGGTGATTATAAAGGCCTTGTGGTGATTATAAAGGCCTTGTGGTGATTCAGGATGTAATATTATATATTATTATAATATATTATTATTATATATATATATATATATATATATATATATATATATATATATATATATATATATATATATATATATATATATATATATATATATACAGTGGCGCCTCGTTAATCCGGACACCTCCGTCCCCAACGAAATCGTCCGGATAAATGAATCGTCCGGATAAGTGAATCACTTCTTAAAAGACGTAC